CAGATTAAATCTATACTGGACCCAACTATGCAACGTCCCCACTATGCCGCGACTCCACTGTGCTGGGTTTTTTTTAACTTAATAATGCTATAACTTTTTGGAAAATGTATTGATCACTAAATTTTTTTTTTTTTATACATGCTTGATGTCTTTAACTATCATTTAGCATATAATTTTTGTAAATCTGACACTTAACCTGCCCACAGGGGGGGATTTAAAATGACAACTTTTTCACAAAAAATTTACTTTTTCAACTTAACTTTTTAAAGTGTTCCGGAAGGTCTGACACTGTTTTATGTATCTTATATTAAAGATTTGTATGTATGTAATGTACTTTATTATGGAAAAAAAAATTTGACCTCTGGACTTGTCTTCATGGTGAAAATGGCTACCGAATGCTATTTTTGTATGAAAATTCTCGATTTTATAATTTACATTTTTTACTTTAAAATGCTATAACTTTTTAAAAATGATCAACACAATTTTTTTATGAAAAATAATATTTTTTTATAATCCATTTTTCATTTGACATACTTTATCTTAATCAAGATATTAATAAGGAACTAGCAGATCATGTAGCTTTTGGAATAATACACCAATTTTTTTAAATTAAACACTATCTAAAGATTTGCATCGAAGCGTTTATTTTCGATAGTGATTTTAATCACTATCAGATATCATTATACTTGATCCAACTATACCATGGCATCACTGTGCCGCGACCCTCCTGTGCTGGGTTTTTTTTAATACGATAACCATTTTCAAAAATTAAGTTGAAAAAGTTCGTTTTTGTAAAAAAGTTGTTATTTTAAATCCCCCAGTGAGTAGGTTAAGTGTTAAATTTTCAAAAAAATGATATCAAATGAAAGGAAAATATCTAAGGTTTTAGTATAAAAGAAAATTATGTTGTTTTGTAGATTTTTAAAAAAGTTATGTATTTATTAATATATTTAATTTTTCTATCTTAAGGGTTAATTTTTATTTATTTTTTATTACAAACATAATAATTAAAATGTAAATTATATATAAATAGTAAAATTGTATGAATTATAGCGTAAAAACTTTAATACAAGCATCGCCCACACAATGATTGCAAATTTCTTTATCTTCAGTATATTCTCCTGATCCTTTTGGTCCAGTAAATAATCTTGCCTCAATTATACTGTCTTCATTTACATGAACACAAGAATCTCTCCTAGTTGCTTCCACAGTTTGCTTTATGGATTCAGACAGATTATCTAGATCTTTGGTAATTTCACTAACCAAACATTGTACTTGTTCTGCTGATAGCAAGTCTTGATAATCTGGATTACTTACTATTGTTTTTAATTTCAAAACACTCTCTCTATCATCAAATAGACGGTCAAGCCACGATAAATCATTGTTTAAGTTAACCATTCAATTTTACTAAAATCCAATAAAAAAAATTCTTTAATAAAATAAAATTTGTTTTAATAAATATTATATTGTTAATAAATATTTATACATCATTCTAGGTATATTTTAATTGGTAAAAATTAAGTATTAATTATCTGGAAGATATTTAAATTTATAATATTCTTAAAATTATAAAACCTCACTTTACAGCTAAATGATATTAAAAGTATAAAATATCAGTACATTAAATATTAGTTTTTCGTAAAAATTTACGAGAGTCTCTTACTAATACAAATATAAGTGTCCAATGCAGTAATTTTAGCCAACTATTCTAAAATTTTTATTCAGCTCACGATTTTATATATACTTATATAAAAAAATTGAAATTTTTAATCCTAAATTTTAATCAATCAATTAATTTTTTAAGTTTTTATTTTACATTGTTGTCATTAATACTAATTTATACAGTAAATAAAAATATAATCTATAAATACTTTATCATTAATCAGATAATTTAAATTTAATTATAGCCAATAAGTGACACTATCTATTTATTAATCTACTTATATTCTATAGAAAAAATCTCTTTAATGTGAATTTGCTTACTATCCTTTATTTTATATTAACAATTAAATTATAATCTGTAAAATTATATCATATTAATAAATATGTACATTTAAATTTAATTAAACGACCGCACTTGAACAAAAAACTCTTGTAAAAGTATAAAGGAGTCGTAAAATATAAAAATCAAATAATTTTCTCAATTTTCTTAATCTAGTATTAAATCAACATTGTATATGGAAACATTATTTACTCTGCCAAATTTCTAGTTGCGTCCATACACTTCTATTACTTATTAGGTATTGATGATAATATGTATAACAGAATCGATTTATTGAAATCGTTGAATTTTTTTACAGTTTAATCTGGTTGTGTTTTAAGATCATTAGATCTTATGGAACTATCAATTTCATTGATACCGTTACCTTGCTTTAAAAACTCTCTGATATTATTGGTTTTATTTTTGTTAAACATATTTTTATTATTGTTATTTTGTTTTTCTAGGTATTTCATTGACGAATTAGTATCCGAGGAGAATAATTTTTTCATATCGTCTAGCCTGTTTAGAACTTGACGAGAATAATTATTTGTTTTAAATGTAATCGGCAATTTTTCAGACATAACTTCATCATTTATAGATTCAAACAAATCATTAGCAATTTCTATAAGCCGTTGAATTATTATACTATCAGATAATTCCACTGAAATATGTTCTTTAATCAACTGTTCTATTCTGTCTGGTGTACTAAATTCTAATTTTTTTTGTAAAATTTGCAATTTGATTAAGATGTGGTCATTTAAAATATAGTATGATGAATAATTTTTCAAAAATCTACTCAAAATAATTTGTATACTATTACGAGCAGTATTTTTTGCATTGTATTGTTTTACTTCGTTAGAAGAATGAAATATACACGTCTGTAGTTTAGAATCAAATATTAATTCACGATAAGATGTATTAGAAGTGCGATTATTTAAATTTTTCATTTTGTCTGGTTTGATATCTATAGCAGTTAATTTTTGTAGTACCAATTCTGACTTAAGACTAATTTTGAAAATCCTTCGAATAGATAAACTATTAGATTCATTTGCATCCGTCTTGACATTTTTCCTTTCATTAGGTTTGAAATTATTAATATAATTAGATTTTGAAGAAATATTTATTAATTGAGTTTGTAAATTTTCAGAAATGTTTGGTTTATTAGAGGAAATATCTGACTTATTTTCATCTTCCACTAGATTTTTATTGTCATTTTCTTCTTGTTTAGATATAAAATGTTTTAAAGTTTTTATATATTCTTGTTTATTTGAATTAATAATAAAAATGGTTGAGTTCTTTAAAATTAACACCTGTTTTGTGAGATGCGAGGGAGAAAGTGTTTCAACTTTCAAACAATCACCATAAGGTTCTACTATTAAAACGTCATCAGTTGGACTTAAATATAAATATATTTCCGTTTGTGTTCCTGTATCTTTTTGTAACAAATTTCTCTCGTTATATAATAATAATTTATCATTATCATCATGATAAATTTCCTTACTCTTATTATTTGTACATTCGTTTTCTTCATTAAATGTTAAAAAATTTGCTGAATTTTTATTTAAAAAAATATTTTTAGTAATTTCCAGATCTTCGTTATTAGTGTAAATTTTAGAATTATCTTTTGATGCTATATCTGTAGGAATTAAACATTTTGATAAGCTTTTAGATGATGACGATAAATTTTCATTTGAATTACTAACTTCATCAATAAATGGGGAGTTTTCGTAAATATTTCCTATTACACTCATATTGATAGATTTATCCTTTTTGATCTTCAAAATTGTTTTGCTATTTTCATCCATATATTTCGTAATATGTTTTTCAAAAATCCTAGAGAGTAAAGTAGAGAGACAATTTGTTTAGGCAATGTTTGAATTATTTGTTATAGCTAAGAAATAATAGACAATATTTATAAACAAATATCTTCTTTACCTTTTCAAATTGTTTTAATATTGTAATTATTTATCTAACCACGAATATATTTTTTCGGTGGACACATATTTAAAATATTTGAGGATCCTTAATGCAATAACAAAGTAACTTTTTTTTTTTTTTGAAAATTTATTTTTTGTTAAAATATACGCCAGTAACTATTGATGTAGAGGTGTAATAACTAAATGTCTAATAATTTTTTATTGAAATAAGAATAATTAAGTTCTTTATTCTTCTGAAGTTTTCAAAAATTATGTTGTTGTAATTATGTTATTTCAAACAAAATTCGGTGTTTATATTAATTATAAAATAAAATAACACGAAGTTCCGCAAATTCTGTAATTTAAAGTGGCCAGAATTCATTAATACTATAGTTTTAATAGATTAGACTAAATTTTGTTATCCGTTTCTATAGTGATAGTAATGGTTGTTCTTAAAATGATGCAAAATTTAATGCTGAAAACAATAAATTTTATACAGTAAAAACAAAAAAATGAGCTTAATAAATCAATTAAAAAAACTAAACATATATCAAACTTATATTTTTTTTTTATACACTTAAGCTTGACTTTTGATATAAATAATGTTACTTTTGTTAAGTTGTATGTGAGTTCATTATATGCATATTCATGTATAATATATTTGTGTAATGCAAATAAATAAAAATATTAAATTAAATTATTATTTTAAAATATAGGATGAAAATGAAATAAAAACTGTAGTTAAATCATCTTTAACCAGACATAATTATTACAGAAAAATTCATTCAGTTGCATTATTAACAAAATCTGAAAAGGTGGATATTTAATAATGTTGTAATAAATGCATTTATGTTGGAACAATTAATTTAATACTTAAATATTTATAAGTAGAATATTTAAAATTATATAGTATTTTCTAAACGAAAATAAATTAAAATAGCTACTTATTAATCGTATCTTGTAGTTAATGATAATTATTTTTTTGTGAAATCGAAACTGCTTGTATCTTAAAATTAACCTTTATTGAATATGTTCAAAACATAAAAAATATGCTTTGATAATTTTAGCTCATTTGTTAGTCAATGTATTATTTAATAATAGAGATAAAACTTGGTTAATCTTAAATAAATTTACTATGAAAAAAAAACTCACAATGATACATAATTAATTTACTATATTACATGATTTTGAATTTATTGTTTTTAATTATAAATTTTTTTATATTAGTGCACAATGCATTAATAAAATTAATATTTTTGAATGAATTATAGCTTAATGATTACAGTCAAAATTGGGCAAATCATTTGGCTAAAAAAGACAAAATGTATCATAATCCCAAAAATAAAGATTATGGGGAAAATATTTATTATATATATTCAACAGAAGTCATTACTGATGTTGGAAAAGATGCAGTAGATGCATGGTACAGCGAGAAAGAATATTTTGATTTTGGATGGAATGAAGATGATATGTCAAAAGCTAAAAAAGCATGTAAGTACATTTGGAATTGAAAAAAATTAAGTTTAGATTCTAGATAGTTATTTAAAACTATGAATATTATATCTATACTATATTTGATATAATCGATACATGAAGCACATCGAAATTATATTATATAATTTATAAGTAGTAAATCTAGTGTAGATTAAAAAATAATTGTTATAAATTATGATTTTTAAACTCTTTAAAATTAAGACACATTTTTCATAACATCAGTTATGATTACCGGACAATAGAAGAAATTTAATTTTAAGTTTAGTTAATAATATCGGAAATTTTTAACCTGTAACAGCCAATCTTTTGTAAATTTTCAAAACTGATGAACAATTCAATTTTAATTGTATATATTCTTATACAATTTTTTAACTATCTATTTGCTTGATCAATTAACTATTAAGTAGGATAGCATGTAAAAAAAGGTTAATTTTTGTAGATTTTACTTTTTATTGTATTATTTTATTTAATAAAAAAATTAATTTAAATAAATAACATAAAATTTTTATTTATTTCTAACAGAAAACAAAACCAAACTTATAATAATAAAACACAAATTATAACTTTTTTGCTATAAAAAAAAAAATGTACAATTACATATTTCATGATAAAATAATACTTACTCGTGTTATATGCGTTATTACATAAGTGACTACCAAAGTGACTCAAAAAATCTTCGTGATGAAGCAGATAACTAGTACCACCACTAAGGCGCTTATACTAAACAAACACAGCAGCATGCAGCCTTGAAACAGCCCTGTTCAAGGCCAATTAATGCAGACGTTATGCACATACCTCAGGGTTTGTCATCTAAACACGGAAGATATTTCAACTGCTAAGAGCGAGATTTTATTAAAACTAATGAGGGAGGAAGAGTTAGATGTCATTACACTCTAGGAAACGCATACAATAGATAATGTCGATTTACATAAAGAACAATGACGTAGTAACAAGGCTGATGAGGATAGCTAATGCTAAAGTGGACAAAGATCATAAAATATACATATAAAACTGCTACGTACAGAAAAGAAATAGTTAATACCATGTAGTAATTATGACTCGAGTTATACAGTAAATTAAATCAAGGTAGCACTTGGAATAGTTAAAATAATTAAAGCAGCTGGTTTTGACGGAGATCTCCTCAAGTAGAGTGAATAAAAGACACAGGTATAGTTAGCTACATTTTGTTGTGGCATCTTTAATACGGCATTTATGCCAACAGCGATAAAAAAAAACTAAAATCACAGCGTTCTTTAAACCAGGAATATAGGAGACAGACACAATACTTTACTGTCCAGAGTTGCTACTGAATGCTTCGTATGAAGTCGTGAGAGATAAATACTAAACCGAACCCAACTAGAAATTGAATAGATGCTACTATTAAAGCAGTTGGGTTTCCGGGTACACCGTAGCTGTACTTAACAGGTACTAGCGTTAACGACTCTAATTGAAAATATATTCTAAAATAACATAAAAACAAATGTAGCATTTATAGATCTGATAGTTGGGTATGGCACGAATTGGAGACATGGATTATTCTAAACTGGTCAATGTAATTACATGTAAAAGTACAATATACTGATAAATTGCAGGTTCCAATTTTTATAGGAGAAAAGAAAATCAGATGGAGAAAATCGGTGATAAATTGCCACAAGGTTCAGTACTAGCCACTAAGTTATTTATCCTTTATATAGACAATTTACTATTTACATCCATTTTTAAATTTCAATATGCAGTTGATATAGCTTAAGCATATCAGAATAAAGACATGGCGATAGGGAAAAAGATGTTGACTGAAGACTTGAAAATAATGAGTGACAATTATACAAATCGAGACTAAATCCCAATTCGTCTAAAACAAAGGTGTGTAATTTACAATAAACAAGCGATCTGAGAACTACATGTACAGTTAAATGATGTGGTTGTAAATCACAATTTGCATTTAAGTACTTAGGAGTGTCCAATAGATAATTCTTTGACATTTAAGAAACATTTGAGAATGTACAAAAAAAGGTTTTATGTTATATAATTTAGTATTAAATTTTGTTTGACCTTTGTATTGTCTTTTTATACTGTACGATAAATAAATAGTAAGTTACAAAGTTCATTCTGTTGACATTACCCTTATACTTACTAGCTAAACTAACTACTAATGAATTTTATACTATTATAAAAAACTCACTAACGGGAAATTTTCGGGAAATGACATAATCAACAATAAATTAGTCTTAAAAATATTTATAATACTGCTCTAAGATTATCTTACTTTCCAACATCATGAAAATTATCCATAATTATTATAATCTTCAAACCTGGAAACCTCTTGAAGACCATTCGTCTTACAGATCTATCAACCTTCATAATTATACTATATATTAGTATTCATGGCTTGAAGATCTTCTGTTCAAATTATAAAACATATTTCAAGCTCCGTATTATCGTATAATGAAATTATACTTTGAAAAACAATTTTTCGACGTTCGATTTGACATGACACCGCCTTTTGCTCTAGGCTGGCGCTCAACCGTATCTCTCTCGATATCAGCCGTCCAGCTATTAATATGACAATCGGTTGTCATCAGTTGTCTCCCCGCCCTTGACACTGAGATAAGGCAGCCGCCGAATATGGATTACCGATATTGCGTTCTGTTCCGTTTTCGACGTACACCTTAACTGGTTGCTCCGTTTTTGTGTTTCGGCATTACATTTTCTTTTCTTCTCTTTTGCCTTTTTGGTTGAGTTTACAACGACTCTCGACATCCCTTACAACAAGTTTTTTTTTTGTTTTGGTTCTCAATACCTTATACGGATATATAATTTTTTCTAACCACCGCTGTGCGGCGTATCGGTATTGGTGTTCGTTGGTGTATTCTAACGAAAATCGCTGTAGCGAACTGACTTTAACAACGTTATTACGTAAATATATATATACAGACATATAAATATTACTTCTTGATCGGGTGCATTTTGGTGCGCGCTCAGCCGTATATTGGATACGTGTCAGATTTAATCTTTAACACTCTACAGTACCCAATCTATCTTCTTCTTCCTCGCCTTAATCCCAACTCCTTGGGGTCGGCCAACAGTACCCAATCAATGTTGATGTAAATCAAGGAAGCAATATTGTACCATTCTTATACATTAAATTTGCCAGTATCAGAGATGACAGTTTTTGGCAGCTATGCTAATGACGCAGCGCTAATATCTTCCTCGACAGTTTATTAAGTTGTTAGTTAACAACTTTAATCAGATTAGAATATGCTTTCTCTTTGGTTCAATATGTGGCAAATTAAAATAAATGATACAAAATCCTCTTTTGTTGCGTTAATTATCAGCAATTGTGATCTTGCATAATTATATTTTATAGAAATTCAAATGAAACTGGTGCAAGATCTTATATGTACATAAATTAATTAATTGCTTTTCTTTTCTATTGTTACATTATTAAAATGAATTTCATTCAGTAGGCGACTCTAAAAGGAGCGAATTCTTTAGTCATTTATCAAGTAATTTTTGGAATTCATTTACTATTTACTTATTGTAACATTTTGTACATATTATAAATTTAATAGTAAGATAATATAAAAATATAATACTTAAAAATAATATTAAATTACATTTTTATAGTAGGGTCAATCCATGCCAAATCATCCAGACGTGGTTGCACGACCACTTCCGAAAATCTCGAAATTTTCAGGACCGCTTCTTTAATCTATAATTAAATGAAATAAAAGAAAAAAAAATTTTTTTTTATTGATGCTCTATACTTTTATGGCTTTCATATAGGAAGAAAGTAAAATAATCGCCTTTATTTCGAATTAAAATTGCACATCCAATTTTAATTATATCAATCTAAATTTTATGGTAAAGTCTATTTATAATTCAAAGTTTATGATGAATAAAAAAAATTGACTTTTATTGATTTATGAAATTTTAATGAATATTTAAAAAACNGACTTTTATTGGTTTATAAAATTTTAATGAATATTTAAAAAACGACAATTTTTTGTTAAAAATCGACGATTTCAAGCCAAACACAAGCCATCATAAAATTTTTTTTTCTTTTTTTTTTTTCACGTTTTATTGTAATAGTACATATTTAATACCTCTGTCAAGTTTAAAAACTTAAAATTAATTTTTCAATGTTTTATAAGGTTTTTAATTTTAAACAATTTGCAATAATAACCAAGTTTAGGTTNGCGTAATCCAAAAGGGGCGCACTAGTTATATTTATATATATATATATATATCCGCACTTCTTAATTCAACAGATTGTTTTAATACAATATTCCAAAGTAGGTTAGATTGTCACAAGATCTAATGGCGTTAAAAATAACTATATACACATAATATTACAATATCTTTATAATTTATTCAGAAACATTTAACTTTGTTATCGGTGGAGTCTACATTCCCCCACTTTCCTCCCCTTTAATTTATGAATCCCACGCTAATTGCATTGATCATCTTATGCACCGATTTCCAGAAGATATATTTATCATTTGCGGGGACTACAATCTACCTGAGATTTCTTGGTCTTGTGATAACAATGGCTTAACTTACTCATATACCTCTTCTACGCGTGCTCCTTTCATTCCTGAAACGTTTGCTACAAACGGATTTTATCAAATCAATAGTGTCCTAAACTCAAATAGTACTATTTTAGATTTAATATTTTGTAATGATAAACATCTCATAGTTGAAAAATCAAATGAACCGCTTGTGCCTCTAGACAAATATCACCCCGCGCTTAACTTATCACTACCAGTAGATACTCAATTTCCCAATTGCAACAAGAGCCATAGCTACTATAACTTTCAAAAAGCCAACTACAGCAATATACGTCTATTTTTATCGTCTTTTGATTGGTTTTCCACACTTCAGTTATGGGACATTGATTCAGCAGTAAATGTACTATATGATGCTTTGCACAAGTCTGTAATAGACTTCGTGCCATTATACTACTTTAATGATTCTTCCTTTCCGCCTTGGTTCAA